AAAAAATTGCACATTTAAATCAGCTGTTAGCCTTAAAAAAAATTTCTTGTTAAAATCTTATTTCCCCATGTTCTCTTCATCTGTATGCTGTGTATATGTATTTTTATGTAGCCATCACCATTCTATTTGTTGCTTTAAAATTTAATCTTGGCAGTATTTTCCATAATGCTCTGAAATATACTCTTTATTATTTTTAAAGGCTGTCATTTATTCCATTGAGGTGAGTTTTTTTATTTTTTTAAGACAAGATCTCGCTCTCTCACCCAGACTAGAGAGCAGTGGTGTGATTATGGCTCACTGCAACCTCAAACTCCTGGGCTTGAGTGATCCTCCTGCCTCAGCCTCCCAAGTAGCTGGGACTACAGGAATGCACCACCACACCTGGCTAGTTTTTAAATTTTTTTGTAAAGACTTGGTCTCTCTGTTCCCCAGGCTGGTGTTGACCTCCTGATCTCAAGCAATCCTCCCATCTCAGCCTCCCAGAGTGCTAGTATTACAGGTGTGATCCACCATGCCTGGCCTTTTATTGAGTTTTGATGCGTTATAATTTAGGTTTGCCTAATTGTAGGACTTTTTAGTTGCTTCTAGATTTTGCTGTTTAAATTATACTACAGTGACCATATTTGCACTCTTTTTTTCTTATTTGAATTATGGCATCTCCTGAGGATTCCCAGGAGTAGGATTATTGAGTCTGGGATCTTGAGAGAAATTGAAGGTCTCTTGTCCACATTACCCTGAATAATATTAGCAGTGAACATTTGTTCAATGGCTATTATTTGCAAAGAACTATAAGTCAGCTCTATATGTTTAGTGCTTTATATGTATGATGTCATTTAAGCCTAACATCAACCCCTTTAACAGAAGAGGAAACTGAGGACCAGATAGGTGAAGTCACCCATTCAGGGCCACATATACAAGGCTGAAAATCAGATCTGGCTGGTATTGAAGTCCCTGCTCTTCGCCACCAGACGATACCACTTAACCTTCCCAGGCTCTGGTTCCTCACAGAGCATTAGCAATTAACGCAGCAATCAGAGGCCCCAGGAAACCAGAGGCCTGGCCTTGATGACTGCGGTGCACACCTCTAGCATTTATAAGCACCTGCAGCTGATAGTGATTTTTTTGTATATTCTGCCCCAGCAACATAAACCCACCAAATGTGAGGACTTGTGGGATCATATAGATGTTGCTAGAAGGGAAGCAGAAAGGCCAGTCCTCAGGATTGCACTGAATGAATCCGTGGGTCCTGATGAAACAATTGCACCTTCCCAGGTAAGGCAGCCTCAGTCCCAGGAGCCCTCAGACTCAACCATGTTGGGTCTGAGTAGGAGGCATTTCTGCACTGAGGAGATGGAAACGCATTGTTTTCCTTGCCCATAGGTTTGCCCTCTTATTAAGTCAGCTATTAGGCTTTATAGGTAGTGCCATCCATCAAGAAATTTGGAGCTCAATGCCAGGCTGCTCAGTATGGGACAGGAAGTGGTTACTTTTGAGTCTTGCAAAAGACTTACAAATAAAGGCCAGTCAGCTCTTTACGAAGAGTACAATATTCTTTTTATTACTATTATTATTTTAAGTCATATTTGTTCTAACGATCTTGCTAGGGATACAGAGGAAGAGAAAAAAATATTTGTAAGATATTCACAGTAATTAAGAACATGAGGTTTCAGATCAGACTGACTTAGTTTTAAATCTAAACTCTACTCCTTGGTAAAGTTACTTCAAATCTCCATGCCTGAGTTTGGTCATCTGTAAAATGCAGATGATGCTGATGTAAGAATTAGACACAATTCGAGTGTCCCAGGGCCTAATACTTGGCACAGAGTTCACACTTAAAAGAAGGAAGTTACTTATTCATAATATTATTGTTCCTACTGGATCTTTTCTTTTTTTTTGAGACAGAGTCTCACTCTGTTGCCTAGGCTAGAGTGCCATGGCGTCAGCCTAGCTCACAGCAACCTCAAACTCCTGGGCTCAAGCGATCCTCCTTGCCTCACCTCCTGAGTAGGTGGGACTACAGGCATGCATCACCATGCCCGGCTATTTTCTATGTATGTTTTTAGTTGTCCAGCTAATTTCTTTCTATTTTTAGTAAAGACAGGGTCTCACTCTTGCTCAGGCTGGTCTCGAACCCCTGAGCTCAAATGATCCACCCGCCTCAGACTCCCAGAGTGCTGGGATTACAAACGTGAGCCACCGCGCCCCGCCCCTACTGGATCTTTTCATGTGAGAGATGATTCGGTGTAGAACATGCACCTGAGGATAATACACCAAACTGCTAACAGTGGTTATTTCGGGGGTGGGAGGAAGTGGCTAAGTCTTAGATTAAGTCTCTTAGCCGCTAAGAGCTAGGAGGCTGAAAAGGAGATCTCTGACTTTCTTTGTCAGTTGTTCCTATAATGTGTGACTTTCTTATAAGAAGCATATATTACTTTCATAATCAGAAAATTAGTGTTTTAAATTTTTAAAATTCTGTGTGACATTAAATTTTTGAAGGAAAATTCTTGTCTATATCTTGTTAACATATCTAAATATTGTCAGCCAGGCACAGTGGCTCATGCCTATAATCCCAGTACTTTGGGAAGTCGAGGTGGGAGGATCACTTGAGGCCAGGAGTTTGAGATCAGCCTGGGGAATATAGTAAGACTCCATCTCTACAAAAAATATTTTTTAAAAATTAGTCAGTCATGGTGGTGTGCACCTGTAATCCTAGCTACTCAGGAGGCTGAGGCAGGAGGATTGCTTGAGCCCAGGAGCTCGAGGCTGCAGTGAGCCATAATTGTGCCACTGTACTCCAGCCTGGGTGATAGAGTGGAGACCCTGTGTCTTAAGAAAAAAAAAAAAGAAAGAAAACAGAAAATTTAAAAAAAAATTGTCATGTACTTATGACCATGGTGTTCAACCAATTTTGTCTGATAACTTGGTCACAAGAGTATTTTTGTGTTACTGCATAAGTCAGCATAATGGTCTTTTGAGAGCATGTATCAAGGTTTTTTTTTTTTTTTTTTTTTTTAAGAGAGAGAGTCTTGCTCTGTCACCTGGGCTAGAGTGCTGTGCCATCAGCCTAGCTCACAGCAACCTCAAACTCCTGGGCTCAAGCAATCCCCCTGCCTCAGCCTCCTGAGTAGCTGGGACTACAGGCACATGCCACCATGCCCAGCTAATTTTTTTCTATTTTTAATTGAGACGGCGTCTCACTCTCACTCAGGCTGGATTCAAACTCCTGACCTCAAGCGATCCTCCCACCTCGGCCTCCCAGAGTGCTAGGATTACAGGTGTGAGCCACTGTGCCTGGCCGAGATTTTGGTCTTGACTTCTACTGTTAGCTTGTTTTGATGCTCCCTTATAATTGGGCATGGGGGTGATTGCCAGTGTTGCTGCTATAAAGCATGTAGAAAATGTTACTGGCTAATGTGGGACTCTGGAAAAGAACCTGGATCCCTGAGAGACTTAACTTGTGTAAGCAGAGTGTTTCATGTGGGTCAGAGCCAGTCCTTTTTGGCCCATTCACAGATCCTTAGCTGGGAGTTAAGGCTGGAAGAGCAGAGGGCTGCCAGAGTTCCTCTGCCTTTGAGTCTAGATGGGAGGAAAGCTGTCCCCTCTTGGAAACATTTGGCAGAGAGCAGGGAGGAGAGAGGCAGGTACCACATCCAAGATGACACATGAGGTATGTTGTGTTTGACAGGCACAGGAGAAACCTGCTTGTTTGTTCTCCTCTTAATTGCATTTTTTCCACATAGGGATTTCAAGGATTTGGATTTGGAGATGGTGGCTTCCAGATGTCTTTTGGAATTGGGGCATTTCCCTTTGGGATATTTGCCACAGCATTTAACATAAATGATGGGCGGCCTCCTCCAGGTAAGGCCTTATTTCCTTAAGAAATCAGGAGGATATCTTAGTAATCCTGCTTGAAAGCTCCTTATATTCAGCAGTATATAAGTTACAGATAATTGTCACTACTGGGATAATCAGCCTTTTCAAAATATCTTAAACTGTTTTCAGATCACTAGTAATCATGCTAAACAATATTGAACTTACCAAGTGTTAGGCACATGCAGAACACTTTCCATTCCAAACCCAGGGGATCATCACAACCCTGTGGAAGAGATGTGTGATTAGCCCCATTTTACAGATCAGAAAATGGTTAGTAATGTTTGCCAAGACATGCCCGATATCTATAAAATGAAAAACTATAAGTGATACCCAGCTGAGGAAAAGCTTGGTTCTGCACATGTACCCCAGACTTTGACCATTGGGGGCAGGGAGGGGCGAGGCCACCCACAAGGATGTCAGGACATCTCCATTCTCTGGCATCTCTATCCAGCTTCCCTCAAAACACACATGGGGCTGGTCCCAAGCCTCAACCCTAGGGGAACCGTGCCTAGGTCTGCCACCTGCTGTTGTGTTTCTCCCACCAGCTGCTTGCAAGTGTCACCTACATTCAGTATAGAGCAGGGCAGTAGGATGGGTGCCCTGTATTCTTTCACATGACACCTGAGTCAGGATCCTTACCTTGAAGCCTGCAGAAGAGCTGTGATCATTGGAACCTAGTGTTCACTAGGCACAGTGTGGGGTACAGAAGTGACCAATGCATGGTTCTGGTCAGACGCTTATGCCCCAGAGATGGTAACCCATGTCTGGGTCATCCCAATTGTTCCCTTCCCCACCCTGGTCCTTGGCACATAGCAGGTGATGGATAGTCTTTATTGACTGCCTGCCTGCCTGAATCCATCAGAGCACCCAACTGAAAATCTCAACAAGAGATCTTGGGAATGCCCTTTCTTATCTACCTCAAAAGTTTCTCCTCTGTTCACATGTTGTTTTCTCAGAGGAAGAAGACCCCAAAGGGTAGGTTGTGCTCTGCCCTGAGGCAAGGACAGGTCCCTGTCTGTTAGCTTGCTTCCTTCTAACCTGGTCCAAGGCTCTGGACCAGGATTCTCCAGTTAAACAGAGTTCTGCAGCCACGGTAGGCTCTGGTTCACCTTATCCCCCACCACAATCAGTTTTCCTTTGTCATGTTTGGTACAGTTTAGTTTGCCAATCCTGGATATAGATTCTCTTACACTCCTTCCCTCAAAGTCAGGACAGGGACCTCTAAACGGTAGCTTTTCTCAAAGCAGAGAGAAGTAGAGAGCTAGATTCTCACCCCATTTCTGCCTCTACTTTGCCACACCTTGGGAGGGGACAAGTCATTCTCTGTGTCTGGGTCCTACTGCTCTCCCAGAACAGGAAGGCACCCCCTGTAGGGCCCTGGGTAGGGAGTGTGCGGAGAGGCTGGAGAGTACTGCACAGCTCTGCCAGTAACTCACAAGCCTTGAGATCTTGGGCAGGTCACCTCATACTTGTGCTTCAACTGCTTCTTAAGCAAAATGGTAATAATAGTATCCACCAAATAATAATGTGTATAAAACACTAACACACAGAAGATGCTTAATAATCAGTAGCTTTTCTTTTACTATTTCTTCTAGGAGTTTCCTGTTAGTCAACCAATTTATTTGCATGTGCAGGCAAAACTGTTTTATGATAAATTGGAGACCCTGTCCTCATTGTTATTGTTCCACATATTTTTTTTGTTTTGCCTGATATTATTCAGGATTTGGCAATCTTTTTTAGTGTGCAGGATTCTGTTGTCATAGTAAAGAGATAAAGACTAAGGCTCTCAAATTCTGGCCTCAAGGGGGTACTCTGTGTAGCTGTAGCATTCTGACAGCCTCTCTTCTCCCTCCTGTCTCTGCAGCTGTCCCTGGGACACCCCAGTATGTGGATGAACAGTTCCTGTCACGCCTCTTCCTGTTTGTGGCCCTGGTGATCATGTTCTGGCTCCTTATTGCCTAATGCTGGGCTTCTGCCTGCATCCATGGCAGGGCCTCTAGACTGGTGACATGCCACCCCCACTCCTGGTATTTGGCTTCCTGGATAATCCTGACCCTTGGAATCAGTGGGATCAGTAACACATCAAGGAGTCTTGCTTCTCCATCAGAGCTTTGGAACTCAAGACCAGTTGTCAAGGACCTCCGAGTGTCGCCACTGCTGTAAACACCCTACTGTAACCTCAGGCCTTGGCATTGAGTCTCCTCTCATGGATGACACTATGAAATCTTGTTTCAGCCAGCTCAGCAGGTCCTGACTCTGCACAGGGAAGAAGCAGAAAGAGAGAAACTGTCAGAGTACAATTTCACCTGAGTTTAATATTACAAAAACAAAAGGATGAACCAAATGATATTTGGAAACTTTCTTTCTCTTTAAATACTCCTTGGTAAGTGGCCTCCAAAGCCAGTGGGGGCTCCTCATACAGTGAGGTTCCCCTTCCAAATCCCAGTGCTGCTCTGTCTTCTTTCCTTCCCTTCCCATTCCCCCTCCTCTTCCTCAGCAGAGATGCAAGAGATGCAAGAAATTGCTGCCCCATAAAGATCATAATTACAGCAGCTAAAGCTGGAGTCACTTCATGAATTCACAAGAGAACCAAAGATCCCTTACTGGCTCTGAGCCATGCTCAGTGTCTTTGGCCCCAGAGAGCAGCTCGAATGACCTCCTGGTTTCCTGGCATAGATTATCCCTGGTGAGACATGTGGCTTCACTCATAGATTTCCCATCAGCTTTCTCCCTACAACTGTGTGCATCTGTCTCTCTCTACCAGAGAGCAAACAGCCTAGACTACTGCTGAAGCCAGGACTGAGTGCTACCCATTGGGAAAGACCTGGAGTCAGGGCTTTGGTGGGATTTGGAACTCTGATGCGGGAACAACTGAATAAGCAGCCCTGTCCCCTAGGCTGCAGAAGCTCAAGTGCATCCTCTCCCAGAACCAGCCCAGAGGAAAATGGGGGCTTTGTCAGGTCAGCCCAGCTGCATATGGAAGACCACCATCCTCAGAAGCCAAATTGTTCTTTGTGAAGAGGCGGGGGAGGGAAGACTCACTTGTACCCTTGATTTTGCTAAGGCATGATGGATTCCCCTGAAAAGTCCTTTTACATGTGCTAAAACCAGGAAAGCATGTGACTCCCAAGCAAGCAACTCCTGATCATTTGTAAAGCCAGGCAGCAGGGCCTGGGGAACCCCAGCACAGTGATATGATATGATCTTCCTTCCTGTGGAATCCAGGGGAAATTATTCTTTCCAAGCCCTTGATTCGTTTTTCAATTTCCTAGCCTTCTTCCTCTGAATCTTATCAAAGGAGTGTGGTGCCAGGCAGGTAGGACAGTTCACCTGGTGGAATGGTTCTTGCTCTGCCTGCCAGTCCTCATCCTAAAAATCCAGCTTCTTCCTGGAGACCGCGAAGGTGGGAGGAGATGACTTCCTCTGGGGGCCTTTCTCTTTGTCAGTCCACACTGCTCCTGGCTAACCCCCAGCAATCTAACAAATGGTAGGAAGCCCCACCTAGTGCATTTTTCCAGATATGGCTCTGCATAGTTTGTAGCACAAAGACCTTGAGGAAGATGAAGGAAGCTCTCCCCTCTCTACAGCCCCACCCCTTCTCCTTTGCACCTATCAATACCAGAGTTCAGTGTTTAAACAGACAAAATATAAAGTATTGAGTAGGAGATTCGTTTGCCGAATCCACTTGGGAGGAATAAGCCACTGGCTGTACAGTGTGCCTGATGGATTTTAAACATTCCTGGGCACCCACATAAGAGTGCTCTTTTTATCACCTTCTGGAAATCCCTAAAGTCTGAGAGGCCCCTGGAGTTTCTCTGCTCTAGAGAAAATTCATGGGATTCCCTCAGTGCAATGGCCCCAACTATTAGAAGAGAGGACTTCAGTCAGGCCCAGCAGAAACGGGTTTCCAGAAGAAAGATTAAAGAAGAGTTGTGGGTAGGAAGACTGAATCATTTGGACTGTGTAACAAAATGGAGTGAGCCCGGGAGAGCTCCACCAACAAAGGCATCTTGGGAACCTGTTAGCGAAGCCACGTTGGCCACATGCCCTTTTAGGTCCCCACTCACCCTCTGCCAGTTGCTGGGGCAGAAGAGCTGACTTGGGACTGCTGGCTTGGCCCGGACAGGCAGCCCCCTCCCCCCACCCCTGTGCAGGCTCACCACTTATCCCTCTGCCAAGGCAGCTTTTCTTCCTTTTTTGTGTGTTCTCTGTGTTCTTGACCTCCACCCTCCTTCTGCCCCCTTGTGGACTAGAACCAGGTCCTGACCGCAGTCAGAAAATGACAATATGTACAATGGCACACCTTAACCAGTCACTAATTTTCACTGTTGTGAAAGTAATTTGATTTAGAATTAAAGAAATGGTTTTACATTACTGTGAGCTTGGACTTCTTGTCTCTGTTGTGGACAGTGAACGGGTGGGGAGAAGTCACACTGGTCTGGCCTCTGGGAAGCAACTGTGCATCCTTGGTAATGTCGCAGTAAGGACGAAAGTCTTCAAACAGCCATGAGTAATTAGAGATGAAAAGTGTAGGCTGGAGCCCTGGCTTCGTACACAGCCCTGCCCAAGGTGTAACCCGTCCGACAGGCAGCCCCAGTCCTGACAGGTGCGTGGAATTCCTAAGCTTGCCAGTGAAAAGCTGCCACAGTAGAGCTTAGCTTGTGGCCCACCAGAGCTTTTAGCATGATCACAGGTTACTCAATGTCAGTATCTCCATATGTTCAGTGATTGGGCAGGTGGGCCCTCAGCCAAGTCCTTTCCCTGGAGCAGAGCAGAGGGTGTGTCCCTCGCAGAGGTTCATCAGTAACAGAGTGTGGTAGGAGGCGAAAGATGTTGGTGAAGTTACGAATCTGGCCCAGCCTCAGGCTCCACAATATACCAGAGCTATAGGTCATTCCTTGGAAAACAGCTCTTTTCTTCCTCCTTAGACTTTGACCTAACAGTTATCAAGTTGAATAGTGCCAAGATAGATTGGGGAATGCAATGGTTAGGGAACTTCAGGAACTCATAAGTCCAATAAGAAATGGACAGGATTTTTGTTTTCAAACAAAACAGAGTAGCAGGACAACTGAGCCTCCATGTATCAGTCGCCGAACCCCAGTAACTATCAACTGAGGGCCAGTCCTGTTGCATCACCCACCTCACAGTGCTCTGCTCTCCCCCTGCCTGGACTATTCTGAAGCAAATCCCAGTCATATGTTATCAATAAGTATTAACAATATGCATCTCAGAGATAAGGATTTTTAAAACAAAATACCATTTATATACCTTAAAAAATAATTTCTTAATGTCATCATATATCCAATCATTGTTTAACTTTCCCTAGTTATCTTAACTTTTGTGTGTGTATGTGTGTGAGACAGGATCTCACTCTGTTTCCCAGGCTGGAGTGCAGTGGCGGGATCATGGCTTACCGCAGCCTCAAACTCCTGGGCTCAAGCAATCCTCCTGCTTCAGCCTCCTGAGTAGCTGGGACTATAGGCACACAATACCATACTTGGCTAATTGTATTATTTTTTGTAGAGCTGAGGTTTCACTATGTTGCCCAGGTCTCAAGTGATCCTGCTTTGGGCTCCCAAAGTGCTGGGAATACAGGTGTGAGCCACCACACTCAGCCTCAACTTCTCTGTATAGCTTGTTTGAATTGAGGTCCATATCAGATCCGTGTGTTGCTATTGTTTCTTAAGTCTCTTTCACTTGGCAGTTTATCTGTTAAGAAACAAGTTATTTGTCCTGTTGAGTTTCCCACAGCCTCAATTTTGCTATCGCATCGCTGTAGTGTTATTTAACAAACTCCTCTTACCCATGTAGTTTCTATAAATTGGTTGTTAGATCTAGAGGCTTGACCAGATTCAAGTTTAATTTTTTTTTTTTTTTTGGTAAGACTATGTTGTTGGTCAGCAGTCCCCAACCTTTTTGACACCAGGGACTGGTTTCAGGACAGTTTTTTCATGGAGCAGGGGTGGGGGAATGGTTTGGGGATGATGCAAGCGCATTACATTTACTGTGCAGTGAAACCACTGTGCTAATGATAATCCGTATTTGCAGCCTCTCCCCAGCACTAGCATCACCGCCTCAGCTCCACCTCAGATCATCAGGCATTAGATTCTCATAAGGAGCGGCAACCTAGATCCCTCGCATGTGCAGTTTACAGTAGGGTTAGCTCCTATGAGAACCTAATGTCCCCACCAATCTGACAGGAGGTGGAGCTTATGTGGTGATGCTATCGATGGGGAGCGGCTGTAAATACAGATGAAGCTTCACTCACTCACCCACCCACCACTCACCTCCTGCTGCTGTGTGGCCCAGTTCCTAACAGGCCATGAACCACTACTGGTCCGTGGCCCCGGGGGTTGGGGACTGCAATTGTAGGTGCTAGTATACACTTGTTGCATCTTACCAGGAAACACATAATGTCTTGTAGTCCCTCTTTGTGACGTTAGAAGTCATTATGGATCAATGTCTAGAACAGCACTATCCAATAGAACTTTCTGCAGTGATACAGATGTTCTATATCTGCACTGTCCAACACAGTAGCCACTAGCCATATGTGGCTATCAAGCACATGAAATGTGGCCAGTGAACTGAGGAACTGAATTTTTAGTTCCATTTTGTCTTAATTGAAATAGCCACATGTGGCTATTATATTGGACAGTACAGATTTTGATTAATTCATAGGGGTTGCAAAATGATATAATTGAAAATAACAATGTTTTTAGAGTTGAGAAGACCACTTCTAGGCAGAGTGAGGTACAAAATTACAGAGAACATGGGGAGTTGGTGGTTGTAGGAATGGCAGGGGGTGCAAAAGCAGAAAGTGCTCAGGAAAAAGCAAACAATCTTGAAGTAGGAGGGAGTGGGGAGACAAGGCTGCAGGGTGAGATGTAGTCAGCTCATGAGGGCCTGGTTTGGCCTTTATTTTGTAGGCAATGGGGAGCTTTTGAAGGCTTTTGAACAGAGAGTTGACAGGATCAGAAATATGCTTTTGGAAGATTAATCAGTCTGTCTTAGGTGGGATGATTCAAGGAGGGGAGAGACTAGAGGCCAGCAACGGGCTCAGTTTGAAGCAAGTGGAAGTGACACTGGGAAGGTCTGGCTGGGTAGCAATAGACCAGTACCCTCAGGATGGCAGAACCTTAAGGTGGTTTTCAAGGTCCAGATTTTCAGGGTCCTAGGCTCAGCGGGTTGATTGTGAGGCAGTCAGCAGGATCTGGCCTCAGAGACTGACAAGCCATGGTCAGCTAAACAACTGCGGACAGGTGAGTTGGGGTACTAGAAACCCAGTAGGTTGTCTCCCCGCCGAGTCCTTTTCTACCCTCCAGAAGTCCCCTTTGAGTTCACAAGTGATTTTGAAGTGTTCTTTGGGTCCATATTAGAAAGATATCTCTTGGCCAGGCGCAGTGGCTCACGCCTGTAATCCTAGCAAGGAGGCTAGTTGTAGCAGGGAAGCCAAGGCGGGAGGATCGCTTGAGCTCAGGAGTTTGAGACCAGCCTGAGCAAGAGTGAGACCCTGTCTCTACAAAAAAAAAAGAAAAGAAAGATATCTCTTGATTATAGCATTTCTACAGATAGCTATTCCTTTCACATTTCAACATGTGTTTCTCAGAGTCACCTGAACTTCCCTGGGAGAAGAACTTGGGGGAGTTGGCTATCTCCCCACTCCCTGCTGGTGAAGATCATGAGGCTGGAGGTAGGAAAGTGGAATGTGAGAGAGAGTGAGGAGGGAGGAGAGATTGACCTGGGTGCCTTGCTGTGGGGCAGAGGGAGAGGGAAGACACCAGGAGGTCTTGGTTCCAAAGTTGCCAGTGCCTTGGTGCCTGGGCAAATACAGTGTAACCCCTTTCTATATGCAGGATGAATAAAATCCCATGTCCGCTTTTTGCTAGCCATGAGGTGGCTTGTCAGGGGAGTCCCTTGGGTTCTTGTTACTTTAATTAATACACAGTCTTGTATTTACTATAATCAATGATTTCCTCAGAAACTTTAAAACTGACTACTGAAAAGCGTTCCCAGGAATTAACAGAAGTCAGGCACAACCCTCCTCCCAAGCACTTTGTGCACACTCAGGACATCAGGGGCCACCTGCCACATCCAGAATAGAAAAATCTGACCGGCATCTGGTTTGAATTAGATGGTCAGGGCAGGAAGAAAGAGAATCGTACTCGCATTTGCTTACCCCAGCTCCTGGGACCAGAGGCAGCTGGATTGAACTTTGTAGTTGGTTGGGGGAGGACAGGATCCATTTCCCTGGGCCCCATCCCTGCCTCTTCCCGGTCATTTGGACTTTTTTCCCCAAGATCTAAATATGATCTAGGGAAATGACAGTTGCCAAAGGCTCACTCAGCATGAGAGAATCAGATGGGAGGGTCATCAGGGAATAGCTCACATGGTGACCCTTCATCACACAGAGGACCCCAGTCTCCTTTCGAACCCAGTGAGGGGAAGTGGTTCTCAAAGCCATTCAACCATCTAGCAACTGCCACAACCCAGCCTGCTGTCTTGTCTGGTGATCTCTCCTTCACATAAAAGATTCTAAACTGGCAGCCTGCCAGGCAAATCTAGTTCACAGGTGTGTTTCATTTGGCCTTCATGGCACTTAAAATTTTTTTTGAATGTTACCAACACTTTTAAGAAGTGGGAAATTTCACCTAAATACCCGGATTTTGGGCTTGTTTTGAAAAACTGGAAGACCCGGGAATAGCAAGCAGGCCAGTGTTCCAGCAAGGGGCTGCTCCTCTTCCAATGGGGCATACTACTTCCAGCGGGGATGCCTTTATTTACATACCTACTTGGCCTCCCTCGATAAGGATCTGCCCCTGGGATGCCGGTTGCACCATCTCAGTAACGTGTTTGACCTAAAGGTTATCTACTGTCAGCTTAGTCATACTGGGCACGGAGAAATGGTTTCTCTGTGCTGGAAGCTTCTAAGAAAAATCCACCCTCAATTCCCCAAACTATTTGTGCAGTAGCCCTAGCTTCTCCCCATTCATATTCCTGATTCCAAACACTACTGGAAAGAGCTTTCAACTGAGAGTCAGGAAGCCTGGGTTCCCATCCCACCTCTGCTCCTACTAAGCTGAGCCATTTCGAGGTAGTCGAACTTGTCCTCTCCTGTCCTCAGCTTTCCCCATGTGTAAAATGAGGACTGGATTTGCTGAGTTCTAACAGTGCGCGGTGTTGAGACTTCCGGCCTGCGCAGAATCACCCTTATCAGCTCGAGCATCCAGAGAGAACGCCCCTCGCGCTAGGGGGCGCCAGGACCACCGCAGAGCTGGGGCCAGGGGGCGAGGCCGGGCGCCGGGGGCGGAGCCTGGCAGCGGCCGGGCCGAGCGTCGGCAGGCAGGCCCGGGTGCCAGGTGTGGTTTGGTCCTCCCC